CGGGCCCCCCCCGGCGAGGGGCGGGCCCCCGGTGGCACCAACAGGCCCTGCCACAGCTGGCTGTGCTGGGAGGATGCGTTACAGGTGGTGCCAGGGCTCCTGCAGGGGTGGCAGGCTGGAGGCCACAGCCACGTTGGTGCACCCAGCTTGCCGCTCCCCTCCCCAACCCTCACCCCCGTGCTGCACGTGCTCTCTGTGGGCCGTGGGCCACGTCTGTGCTCCTGGGGTCACGCCATCCACATGCCCTGCACGTCGGGGGACGCCTGCCCCTGTGCGGCAAGGCAGGAGGTGTGTAGCCCCCAGGGGCTGTCCCCGCTGCTCTGGACCCCGGGTGTCTGTGCTCTCTCGAGCTCGCAGGGCAGGTCCCTCCAGATGGCACCCTTCTTGGCCCTGCGCCCCATCTGGTGGCCTCGGAGGCTGTCACGGCTCCCAGCCCCTGGCCCACAGGCGCCCACCGGCTGGCAGCCTCTGGGGCTCAGTGCTTCCCCCACTTGGGGCCCCCGGGGGCTGCCCCGCCCCCCAGCCCCTGGCCCACAGCCCCCCACCGGCTGGCAGCCTCTGGGGCTCAGTGCTTCTCCAGTCCAGAGGTCCTGCTTTTGGATACGGGGTTTCAGCTCACTCTGCTCTGAGCTCTCCTGTCACCCCACAGCTGCCACCAGCAGCCTGCCCAGCTCAGGCCCGAGGCCGGGCTCCGCCGCAGGGTTTGCAGCCCAGTGGCCCCACCTGCGCCCCGCTCGGTGCCCCCTTTACTCGAGTGTGCTGGCACCTGGGCGTCCCCTGTCCAAGCCCACATGCGATCCCACCAGACACGTGGCCCATTGTTCCATGTTGGGTGGGACACGCGAGCCAGAGGGTGGCTGAGCCCTGGGGCGGCACTGCTGCCCCACCGTGATCGGCCCCGGGCAGAATCCATGCCGTCTGCTCTGGGCCTGCCCTGCCGCACGTCACCTGTCCCCACGCATGCCGCTGGCCACTCTGCCAGGTTGGTGAAGCGGTGTCCTGGGCCAGCCGGCTTTCTTTCCTAGCAGAGAAGCATTCACGGCCCATTTCAGGAGGTCCCGGCTTTTTGTTTTATAAGAAGGGATGACTCTCCCCCAGGGAAGGACTCCCGGATGGCTCCCATGGGCCCGGTGGGTCCTGTCCCTGAGCTCCTGGCTCAGCTGACCATCCGCGGGCAGGGTGCTGAGTCGGCGGCGGCAGCTGGCTGAGGCCTCTGTCCACACACCCTCAGCCCATCTCTCCTCCGTCTTTCCCGAGCAGAGACCCAACCAGCGTCCAGGGACCTGCCCTCACAGGCCCCAGTGTGGGCCACCCAGGCCTTGTCCCATGCAGCCCAGCCCCTCCTGTCCCCTCCCCGTGGTCATGAGAGCACCCAGCACCCTGTGCTCCCTGGGCCCACGGGAGGGCCTGCTGCTCGTGCTCGGGCCCCACCGCGCTGCCCGCGCCCGGCCCCCCCTGCCTCTCTGCGCATCGCCCTGAACAGAGGGGTCGCCCCGCGGCCAAGCTGAGCCGGGAGCTGCCCTCCCCCGCGTCCCGTACCTGCCACGCCCGGACGGTGGGCGCTTGGTGCAGCCGAGGCCCGGGGCACGTGGTCTTGGCCAGCAGTGTCCGAGTCTAGAGGATGAGGTCAGAGCGCAGCCTCGGGCAACGCTGGGGACAGAGAAAATGGGCCAGTGGCGGCGAGGGACCGTCCCACGGCAAGGCCCATCCTGCCTGTCGGAGGCGGGGTTGGGGCCCCGGGCGGTTGCCCCGG